GGATGAAAGGAGGCTTGGTAGGAATGTACATTGTGATGAATGCGACAAATAAACAGGAAGATAAGCCAAGGCTTTTTGATTTTTTGTTCATGGAAGGAGGTGAGGGGATTTCGTTTTTGGCATGAGGTAGGGAGATGAGCAAATTTCGGAGGTCTTTATATGCCTTGATCCTTTCGTTGCTTTCCTTGTTGTAGTCAATACTTTATCATGAAAAGGAGAGCAATGGCTTACAATCATCGGGTGGGAGATGGAGAAGAAGGGATCCGAGTGGAACTGGGAAGACAGAGATCGTTGGCTCTTAGTTTGGGCTTGGATCGCCTAAACTTTGGGACGTAGACTAGCAATGGGTTTCTATCTGCTGCTGGGGCAGAAGGAGAAAGATGGGAATTTCTGATATGATCTTTGAATGATGTGACCCCGTTTCTTTTTTTTTTGGAGGGAGACAAGGGTGCCGGTTTCGGCTCTGTCGTGTGAGAAGCAATGAAAAATTGGATTTCTAGTGATCTTTGCGTGCAGCGATCCCGTCATTGCCTTTCTCGTAAGCCTTGGTCATGACTCTTCGATGGAAATGCGCAAATGGGTGTTTCAAATGTCTATGTATGTCGCGATCTCGTCATTGCTTTCCCACTACTTTTAATCACAACTATACTGCAAGTGGGTAAACGAACAGGGATGAGGATTTCAATCTGTTCATATGAGGCGGAGAGAGGGAGTTACAAAGGTCTTTGTTTGCTCAATACCTTTGTTGCCTTATTAGCCGGCTCTAGTTGTCATTGTATTGTGAGTAATTCAGCGCGAGACAGAGACAAAGGTTTTGCTGCTTGTAGTTCGCAAGAGATGGAATGGGTGTCTAGCCGTTTCGTGCAAGAGGACCCAAGGTAGTTATTAAGATATTAAAGCGAGAGTAGTTATCTCATCTACGGCGGGAGAAGGGTTTCGTCTCATACCGAGTGTAGTGGGGCCTTTAACTCTTTGTACAGAAAAACATGGGGGAGTAGGAGTAGTTACTTATTTCGAGCATTTTCTTTTTACTATTACATTATTATTTTTTTAACGATCAACATACAATAACATTCTTGAACTAGCATCTGCTACTTCTAAAAGGATGCTTGAACTGCATATTTTGAATTTATTGTAAAGTAGTGAAATGTTTCGAATGTGGCACTAATCCTCATTTTAGATTTTTTGTGGAGTGTGCATCAAGGCAGATTGGTTGCACTTGTGGTTGGATTTGTTTAAATCATGTCTAAAGATGTTTATGCTGTGAAGCTAACCCATACCATAACATTCAACGATTCATGAGATTTCATTGATGCAGTAGATTAAAGAGAACATTCAATGAGATTGGAAGTTGTACTAGTCGCACTCTAAGAAATGAAAAACATGGGCTGATATTCTATTCATGTAGTACTTATAGCAGTGTTTGTAAGAGTAATAACTAGTTATATAAATGAGACTGACTAAATTGCTTTGATTTGCACTTTTTTATAGTATCTTTCACTGGTAGATTGAATGTAGTGAAAGAAATTAGGTTGTTTTTTGCAATTAAATTATTAAAATTTTTTAATTCGGCTTGAGATCATGAGCATGTTAATTTCATCCAATTAATTTTCCATCCACTTCCTTTTTTATTTTTTTCAATTAAAATTAACACTGCCGTTGCCGGTCCCAAGCCTGGATGCGAAAAGTGGAGGGTTGCGTTAGGTAGTCGACAGCCAGCTAAAACTTGTCGAAAGAAAATCATGACATGAATCATTTTGATCATTGTGTAAGTGCTAGGGCGTCCACTGTAAGCGACGCGCTGTATAACCTGAATACAGTGAAAAGTGTGCAAGGGCCGCTACACCGGCGCCCGGGTGTAGTGTTAAATAAGCAAGGGTTCTCACATTACGGGCTATATATATATTAACATATCTAAAAAGAATAGGCCAATAAAATCCAGATTCTAAAATTTTTTGAACAGTTCTTTCATTCCTAAAAAGACCTCCAAATTCAGAATCATGACATTTTTGGATAATTTCTTGAATTTCTTTTTATGGCACACATCTTCTCAAAACTAAATATTTGCATTGTTTGTATAATTACGCGTCATTCCAAAAGTAGAATTTTGCATTGTGAATGAATTTATTTTCTTATTATTTTGTCAGTTCATATGGTAAAATACCACTAACAATATAGTTCACAATATCAACATATCATTCTCATGCTTTAACCTTAAGATTATCATTGATACTAAAATTTTTAATAATTTAAGTGTTTATGCTTCTCAAGTAGGTTTAGATACAGGGTCTAA